GCCGAGCAAGTGTGTTTCCCGGGAAAGGGGTCTCGAGTTCGATTCCCGGGTCGGGCAAAGTATTACTGAATTTTTCAGTATTATCACGGAATTCGGAAATGTACCCAGTATATGGTAGTAGGCTCACCCCCTACTGCATGGGACACATAATATACCTACCTAAATGGTGAAAAGTGGATGCTACTTTGTACAGTAGTATTAATGTGCCGTAATGTACACCTCTGCTTACCCTTTTGGGGATAAAAGGCGTGATGTTATGTTATATGCCCAGTTATTGAATAACCTATTTATTAATTAAAGTACCCATCAAAGAGTGCCATACCATTTACTCTCTCTTTCTTAAATGTCAACAAAAACGTTCAACAATAGATTGCAAAACGAAAATTAACGCAAATGAAATAAAACAATCAATTGGCAGAAAACAAATTTACTTTTCAATGATAATAATGAAAGCGATTTAATTATTAAGACGTAATATTAATAAGTGACTTTGCAGACGGGGGACTTTTACTTTTGTCCGCCAAGGACATCAACTCAGGATTGTGAAAACTTTTTTTAACATTGTCCCACACTAGGATTTCCTCCTGTGTCGTGGGTGCGTTTACAAACATACAAGTTCACATACACATAACACCCAGACCCGGAACAACAATTTGTCGATCACACAAAGAGATGTTCCGTGCGGGAATCGAACCCGCGACAGATTGGTGGCCTGTGGCCCAACGACCGCGACGATAGGGCAGTCGAACTTTAATCAACTGTATAACGATAAAAATACATCTAGTGGTCTTTATGAGTTATCAGTCAATTACCTACTTGGTCTGTGTAATAAACAGGCTGTTTCTGCAAATTTGCTACAAAGTGAATAAGAGCTGGAAGAATCCTATTTCCAAATATTTTTCCATTTCTTTACGGTTCAAAGTTACGGTTTAAAACCAGTCTTAGTGTTGTTTAGTGATTTGTCATAAAATGATTTAAATATTACAACAACTATCAGATACTAATATACTTTTTAAACTACTTGCAGCTAAAAACTGGTGTTTTCATCAAACAAATATTTTTTCAAAATTTTTACGATAACAAAAAATTCCGGATCTACTCGAAATTTCTCTCAGCGTGTGTGAAATAGTGAGTTATAGCTAATTCGGTATAGCAAATAATTTGTATTGACAAAAAAGTTCTCCGTGGATAGTCCCCCGTCTGCATCGGCCTTAATAGAAATATTAATTATTATTTCGACGAACTTCAGTCTCCAAGAGGTCACTTGTGGTTGGAGCAATTATTATAATGAAATACATTACTTAAGGAGAAGGGTTGGCTATGGAAGTCTTGATCTCTCCTTAATATGTATTTATGGGGACATTCCGACTAATTTATGACCTTTTTCGACATTATTCGGCGAACACAGATTGGTGATGTTAATTTTGGTGATTAATACGTTACGGAGTGATTATTGTAAGATAGATAGGTTGGTTTGAATTTGGGATTCTTGAAAGCAATGAGTGCTGTAATTTATGACATGGTAATGGAGTTATCTATTGTACTACAATAGTAATAGGTATATACTCTCGTTTATTCTGAAGTGGTTAGTATAATAAGTTCTTGCAGTTTATAATACTGCTTAAATAGTTATAGTTTATTTATGCATTTGTTTTAATCACTTATTAATATCTTTGTTATACTATTTGTTCTATGTGCATAAAACAAAAATAGAATACCGAAATTCTATAAAACAACTACGTGTTTAATCTTCAACTTTAAACATGTTCTTTTGTCTTATCCAACTTGTTTTCAAAGAGAAATTTGATTTGTCGTCCCTGTATTTTCAACCTGTAGCGAATAAACAATGTGAATGGGATTTTAGTTCGTAAACTTTGTGCATAGTAACATATGCAGTGCAGGTATGGGTTGGGTCTAACGAAGACCGTTCGTTTGAGGAATACTTGATGTCACCGAATATTCTAGTTTGTTTTTTTTCTCGACCAAAAGACGCGCTCCAACGAATCTTGGAACAACGGTGTTTGAATGTATAATGTTGCTAGTTTTTTAAGGTTGTTTATTTACTTTTTTTGTTGGTAAATATGTAGTTGTAGTAGTTTTTTGGGGTTAGAAAAGATGTGTATCGTATGTACATATGTATGTATCAGCAGTCACATAGACACGATTGAATTTACATGTTATTAAAGTTAAAATGTCATTTATTTCAATTAGACCAGGAAGGCACTTTTGAACGTCAACAAAAATTAAAAGTGAAGCTATTTGCTCATTCCAAAGTGTAGATTCCTATGGAGATGAACGAGTAAAACACTCCAAAGGTAACTCTTTTTTAATTAGGTTTACAATACTATACTCTCTCTGTGTGTTGACTACAAGCGAACCATGTGTGGTAGACAATAAAATTGATCCACACACATTTTTCTGGTGTTAGACATAAATATGTGCATTTCTATAATCAACTTTTTAAGAATCCCAAAAGGTCTTCTTCCACGAAAAAGATTGTCCACCCGAAGACGCTGCAAAACAAAAACAATGAAGAATAGACAAGGGATTATTTGCACTGCATTAACAGGCATAAATATTTAACGCCTAAAGCAGGCTCATTGAAGCTTGTCATTACACCGCTCAGTCGTTTTGAGGATATAAAAAGTATCTTCCTTACATCAAATAGAGCCAGACATTTTGGAAAAGTGCCCCTCAAACGATCCCAGATTTGCATGTAATTATCATTTTTGATTCTCTCTTCTTTTGTGCAAATACTCGTCTAAAAGGTAACGCCGTAAATGACATAATGCGTAGAAAGATATGCTGAATTATTTATATGGTAATACGTTGTGAGCCTTGGCTTTTTAGTGAGGGGAACGGCTTTCCGATTAATTGTCGAGTGTTTAATTTCGTTTCGGCTTTGTTGTTTATCGATATCAAATTATATTCTGTGTTACCAGTTTTTAGTTACTTTTTTTATTTAAATAACCACACAAAAGTGTTATAACTGAAGAAATATGGTCGGTTTAAATATCTAGATAAATACGTTGAATTTTTCTGTAAAAGGTAAAATAGGTATCTATGTATGGTATTGTCATAATCTTCGTATATTGTGACGTCGCTTTACAATGTCGTTGGTTGTTTTCTAATATGTAAAGCATCATAAAACAATGAACCATGATTGTGGTGACGATGTGGTAAGTTTCCCAATTTTTTTTTAATTTCCATATTATATAACATAATATCGTGCTATTTCACCGTACATTTCCATCACTAATCCACATCTCCGCTTCAACGTTAAATACGCTTGAATGGATATTACTTTTGGGGATTTTTGTTGCCTAAATAAATTATTACATTTGACTAAGAACAGGTTTTAATGAATTTCAAGTGGAACCGCTAGACTAATATGATTTCCCATTTCGCTCCTGTTGCTTTAACGACATGAAAGGGAATTCATTTGGGGTTTGTCAACGTGTCGATATTTGAAAATGAATAATAAATAGGTAGGTGTGTTATTTTATTCATACAAAGAAGAGAAAAGCGGTTTTTGCCCGTCTGTTGCAATGTTAAGATTTCATGAAATTAAATCGAATAATGAAATGTGTATTATAGTATTATTTTGTAGAAGCAAACTTATTTCTGTAACGCAATTGTGGCCTCTTCAAAATTTCAAATCACGTAGTAAAAAAATCATAACAATACAAGGCGAAAATTCAATTCCCTAACAATATAAAATCCAGATTACAATTTACAACAATATAAAAATACAAAAATCGAAACGTAATCGTTGCAGTTTGACATTTCGATCCGCCATCTTTGTTGGCGCCAACATTGTGTTTGACATAAACATTATTCGTTCGGATACAACACGAAAACAACTTAAAATTGACTTGCTTGTGAGTGATGGCTAATAAAAATTGGGAAAACGAAACAGTATTGGAGTGTCGACGACGGGAAATTGTAAAATATTTTGTACATTTTTAAGTTGAAGTAATATTTAAAGTAGGTTTGTGTAACGTACTTGCTTACTTTGTTTAAATAATATCAGTCACTACTAATAGTTTGATCTTATTAAAATTGTTTACTGGTAATAATTTTTTATATCTTTTGATACAAATATTTTTTTTAAATTACTAAATCTTAGATATTTTAAAATAGATAAATTAGAGAGATACTTGTTCATAAGGTTGTTATAATAATTTATAATGAAAGATTGAATATGTTCTTATTAGAGGCAACAACTATTTACATAGCGAACGAAAAATAAAATTACCCGCTTTTTATTTTTTAACATACAAATTAAAGTATCGAAATAAACTAATGTCTTCGTTATACATATAATTGGATTAGTTTCGTTAGAAGCTACATTTAAAAGATATTTGATAATATAATTTTGTCTCAAACACGTTTTCTTGGAAATTCATAGAATTAAATTAACTTGTCTTTCTAAAAAAGGTAAATGAACATGATTTTTGAGGTAGGTTTTTTAGTAGACACTTCACCTGAAGGTAACTAATCGGCGCTGTTCATGGACAACCGAAACACCGTGGTGTCACAAGTGGGTTACCTACCGGCCTTTTGGGAATTATGAATTCGAGGATTATTGGGGATTCGGGGATTGCGGACGGTGGTAATTGGACCTCCGGTAAGAGGTTACCGAAGTGAGTAAGGACTCATATGACGAAACACGACGCAAATGTTATATACTTAAACTGTCAAAGACCAAGCGGTCACCGGTGACCTCGACCTATTGTTCTTTAATTGTGTCTATAAAACCGGTACTCGACGAGTTAAATACCAATAAAATATTTGAAGTCCGCCTACTCACCACTAGACTCACCACTGTAAACGATTCCATTTTTACTTATTATTTACATTTTTATTCACATAAAAAATGCTATTGGTATGTATTTTCAAATTTTCCTCTTAAATAAACCTCATATTCATGCCATACAAAAGAAGTAGATACCGTTACTAGTAAATAAAACCAGATACTATACAGAAAACTTACATACACTTTTCAATACTAAAAACCCAACGCTTTTCTGATAAACATCACATAGCATACGAACCGACGATACCATTAAAAATATTACGTTCATTTTGAAACCCACGCAATATTTCAAGTATAAATCTTCAAAGAAGTCCTAGCTATTTCGAGACGATGCATTCAGGTAGAAAATAAAGAAAAAAACCGTCTATGGTAATACGTCAGACACAGATCTCGTGCCCCGACGCGCGTCGACGCAGAAAAACTTATTTCACAATAGTTTATGATTTCCGTTCGACTACGAGTATATCAACTATTGAACTGTAAATGCGTAAAATTTATTATTTATTACATTTGTTGTTAGAGTTTCTTTTACAAAACTGCTGAATGGAACTTTAAGAATAATGCTTTATGTGTTTTCTGTAAATAATAGGAATAAAAGGAGAATAGCCCTTCGGTTAAAGATCTTCTCTGTGAACTGGTAATTCTAAAAATATTTTGATGTTTCGTCTGTATCACTTTTGAAATAATGTTCTTTTGTGTGTTAGGGTATTATAAGCTACTGACTTTTACTACTACTTTACTTTTACTTAGTTTAGTGTTATAGTTATGTTGTATTCATACGTACCGGTTGCGTGTACCGTGTCTTACTTTAGTGACGGTCTTTAATTTTCTACAACCAAAAAGTTTATCATTTGATTGCAAATCAATTCGTTTTGAGTCGAATTTCTATTTAACTAAAAAAGACCGTATCAAAATACGACCTCTAGAATACTCGCCCTCGACGCCCTCCAATCTTTACTTACGCTACAACATAAGAACGAAACAGCAGCAAAATCTTCAATCTAAACCACGAAATCTTTCGATACCTTTATCAAGCATAAATCTGAATATAAATCGCAACCAATCTCTGAACATCACGTAAACATAACTGAGCTTTCAACAGCAAATTTCACACACGATAGGCCTCCCCTTGACATACTACGTGTTACTTTTAACAAAGGGCAAAGCCGTATGAAATGACATAGGCTGACAGTATCCACGACCGTCGAACATTATCGCAAAATGCCCTTAACTCGATTCGTTCATATAATATTCATGACAGGGTACAATCTTTCAAAAATTGACACCTTTTCCCGGGGTTACCCTCGGGATGGACAAGTTTTCTGTGTTGCCAACGGTGAATAAATTACCGGACACAATGGGGTTTTTCGTTTACGACCGCGTTTAATTTACTGTGGTTAAAGTAATGAAATATATTAATGGTTTTATTTATTGGTTTGATTATAATATCAATGATTTGTTTGGCATTAATTTCAGTCTCTATAATGGGAGATATTTTCTCACCGAATGATAAACAAACTTATGTGTGTTATTGCGTATTACGTTTGCAGATCATGATGGAAATGTGGATAGAATACAGCGTGCCGTACCTACCTTACCCTATATACAAACATGAGAGATATCAAATATCCATTACAACCCAATTACTTTAATTAAAAACCAAGTGACCCAAGATCCACCACGTCCATCACCATCAATGGCAGAACAAACTGAATTTTAAAACTAAACAAATTAGACCCTTCTTCAATTCATAAGTATGGTCAGAATGGGAGAATTTTTAGAGGGTTGACCTATGTACATATTACTTAGCAATGAAGCTTTAGAACAAATAGAGTATTCCCAGAAGAGGAGATCAAATAAATGGGAGGTGAGGACCCTACGTCACTCTGGTCGAAGTAACTAAAGCTGATTGTTTGTTCAGCGGACATAGATTTTTCCACTTGATTGTCTGATTTGATTTTCTTGAGGGCCGTCTCTAAGGTTGTTCGGCAAATAGATTGTCTAAAATAATCCTCTTCGGACAAGTCCGGGGTTTCGATTTACTCTACCAGAGAGTGGTTTGTTTATATTTTGGTAGTTTTGGGTTTAAATTTTTAGGTTTTCGATTGGTAAATGTATTCCAACAAAGGGGCTTATATTTCGTACATTTATTTACATTTTAAAAAGTGCTACTTTAATGTGTTATTAATGTATTTCATTCATTCATTATTTTGCTCCAGAAGATGGCTCTTGGATACGTAAAGTTTATACACATTTGGTTAACCACTAGCAAAAAGATCAAGTACTATTTTTTTTATCACAGACGTTATAATAAAACAAACTATCAACAACAAAAAGCCAACAATAAAAAAATTATTCCCTTTTATTTTCCTTTGTTAAGTTTCTATTAAGGATTATATAAAGTTGTTGCAGCCCCTCGCTCCTGTTTCTCGACGCTTCCTGACAATCTCGCGGCGACAACCGTCTCGAATCTCCTTTCATTGTCCACTTGTCATTAAGTTTTTGTTTCCCCTTCTTACACTTAGATGTTAGGCTTATGTCAAGAAGAATACTGCTTGTAAGATTGACAATCTTCTATAAAATACACTTTAAAAGAAAAACATGGATTATTGATTGTATTTATAGTGACAAAATCATTAAAACAGGAGTGTGTTATGCTGAAATTGTAAACAAAGGTGCTTTAATATTTAAGATCGATAAATAAAAATTGATTGTCTTGTTTTACTTCAAATATACTCACTACTAACAATTTGAAAAAATCTTAGGATGGTTTCATATCCACGATGAAGTATTCACTTCAAAACACTACAGGTACACAAATAAAAAACAAAATAATTTATGTCCCAATTACCGTGCCGCAAGCCTACGTCTCATCTTATTTCCCTTTCACAGACTCTGAAGACGGTTCTTTCAACTTCATTCCGATAGCTAACCGACCGCTCGACCCGTGGGTATCGCCCATAGATTTACCGACGACAAATGGCCACGGATTGACGTTACATTTATTCCATGGACAACTAAACGCTATTGTGCAGATTTATTTGTTTCCGACAGTCGGAGAATGTCATTATAATGGAAACGCATTTTGACAGCTCGGCTAATTTGTCATTTGAGCTGTCAGTTGTCTATGGTAGTGGGATGTATTATCTGTGCATTATCATGTTGACATCTTCGATAAATCTTTTTTTGGAAAAAACTATAGGGATTAATAATTGTTCACTTGTTTTGGTTTATTTGTTCTACGATTTGATTATTTATTATTGTGTGTTGTTGCTGTTAAGTAGAAAAAATGTTGTATTCAGTTGTTTGACAATATCCATTACATTTGTTGCGTAAATAGATAAACCTATTAGGTAACATTACACTAGGAATAGTAACTAAGTAATAATTACGTTACTGGATTAGAAGTTCAGCCTAGAGATTATCTAGTAAACTAATAACGAGTAAGAAGAACCCTTATGCTACTTGATATGAAGAATACACACACACCTTCAGGTGTAAGTAAAGGTCGCAATAATTTATCACACAAACACATAACCAACACATTTTCCACAGAAATCACCTCTGAATCCTACGAGTAAGCAAATATCTCCCTACCATCTTATTTGTAACCAAAATTAAATATATTTTCGACGAAAATGAACATGTAATTCGGTACAATGTTCCTCAATTGGAAAAATTAAATGACAGAATCCGTATCATCGTGGGTAACAAGTTTACACGGGCGAACCGTTCTGAAGGCGATTGGAATTATCCTGCATTCGACAAAACTGCTGACGTGGTGCGAAGACGTTACTACCTGGGTATAAAGTTCTGGATGTGGCTCCTTAGCCACAAATCTTAACACAAAGCCACAAAACTCACACAAAAGGTTGTGCGAGTTTTGATTAAGATTTCCCTTTATTATATATCTATCTCCCTATTTCTAAAAAAAGTAAACATAAAGAAGCTCTTTTTTATTTTTTATTTTTATTAAAGGCTTCATGCACATACTAATGTACAAGGTGGGCTTAATGCCATGGGTATTCTCTTCCAGTCAGACCTTTGGGTGCTCTTTTGATTCTTAACAGAATCTTTTATCGTTTAATACAAATCTTATGCTATTGTGGATTTTTTTAATGGTAAAATCCCGCCATATCCTCCCGAAACTGCTGCAAATCTTGTAAGCCAGGATTTACAGTAGATACAACCATGAAAACACTGGAACACTGAAGTCCGGCTCGTCTCAGGGATATAAATAACTTCGTCTTGGACATATGAATAATTTTATAATTTGCTTTTGTTAAACTTTTCTCATATTTTAATCCTCATATGATAACATTACATCACATCACTAAACAATTTTGAACCCTAATCAAACCCATCATAGAACACACATTACCACCAAAACTATTAACAATACATCCGAACACAGCGTCACAGTGTTCAAATCTCATTATTGTGTAAATCCCGTATAACAGACACATCTATAATTTCTATATCGACGTCACACGTACGTGGTCGCGCAAACCATAATGAGCGACGCTGGGCGACCGCACTAACTAGATTACTACATACGAGTCTTGCATTGTAATTACACAGACACTATTTTATCTACATTATTGTATATTAGGCTTCTACTCAACTGAATTAAGAATGTATATTCATAAGATATGGTGGTATTATTGTGATTTTCTTGTTTTTAGAGATAAAGCTTTTGGCTGTGACCACGTGCGGTTCAATGTGTCTTTATAGTGATGTAAAATTATTTATTTAGGTTACAGATAACAATACTTCAATTATACTTTGTCTGTTTGTGGAATAATAAAACCAGTACACAATGAAACCAAGGGGAATCGTCGTCATTCAAATTATACAACAGGTTTACATAAAATAGCGAGAACGAAGCGATTCGAAAAAGAATATTGAATTCAAACAAACATCGGCTTATCCAATCACAAGGAAAGTCGAATAAATTGACGTTACCGATCACGTCACGATCTATTGTAATAAATAACACTTTTTACTGTCCGTAACCATGCAAAAATATCGAAAGGTAAAAGTAAAAAACATTCGATAACATCCACTAAATCGAATGAAAACTCGGAAAAACTGGAAATTACTTTATTGTTTCATCATAAAATGAAAGCAAATAACAGTCGGAATCGATAACTCGTTCACTGCATTTTTTGTGTTGATACAGTCATCAAAAAATTGTTGAAAACATTCGGTGCCCTTTCGTCAAAAAACAAAGGACTTTTTTTGCAACTGTGTGCTTTAAAATTACTGAATATATCACCATGTCGTTTGTGATTTCATTCTAGGCCTTCATGACCTATTTGATTGTGTTATTTTGTTATATTCGTTTTAATAATTTGTTTTTTAAGGGGTGAAAATTATCTGGGAAAAATGACTGCTCCCGCCTGGGTGAGGCGGGAGGGAGTGTCAGACTCTTACTGACTAAAAACCACCCCGTTCCTTCTCC